ACAATGGCAAAAATCAAACATTTCCACTACTTTGAGCTCAATTTCAAGCTACTTTTCATTGTGAAATTAATCAAAATCATATATATTTCTGTAATATATCTTCCATTCTATCAAATGAGACCAAAAAAATGAGAATACAACCATAATAACTATACGAAAATATACTGCAAAGAGGCGGCTAATGGCTGAGAAGTGAACTCCCTTATTTAACATCCCTCTTTTTTCATTTTTGGTGTACGTTAAGAAGCATCTTTCCATCATACATTGCCCAAGTTTCAATAAGATAGCCCAACAAACAACTGAGAAAAAAAAAATATTTACCAAAAATCATATATGGCAAGCCCAAGCCAGGTACTGGGAATAAGTCACTTTGTCTGATTGTTTTGGGTAATCCTAGGTTCTCCATACATATGCTGTTATGTATGATAATCAATGTAACTGTATTTGTGTAGGTGAATAAATTTCCTCATTTACTTACTTTTATTCTGTCGACTGAGTACAAAAAACCGCCCATTCACCTATTTCAACTACTCAATAAAGTGGTTAGAAATTGGCAATTTGGTCAATTTCCCAAAAATTTCAACAGATGCCAATTTCAAAACTGGGTCCAGAATTAACAATGCAGACATTCCTGGCACTAAAATAACATTTTCTCTGTTCATTAGTCATGGCTTCAGGCTCCTTTTATATTACTCTTGCTTACCATTTGGAATTTTTATTCACACAAAAAAACAGAAAATTTACTGTTATGCAAACTACTGCATTATTGTAATACAGTGGACCCCCGGATTAAGACATCATCGGATTAAGTAACATTTTTGCATCAAAATACTGGCTTGGTTAACGACACTGAATTCAGTTAAAGTCAATCGTCCCAAATGTGTCCACACGCCACGAGCAGCCCGGCCACTCCATGTACAGCCAGTGTGCCACTGTTTACAAGACAGTGATGATGATTCCACGCGTACACGCGATACATTTTGTACTATTCCATTATTTTTAGTGCTTATAACTGTCAAATAAGCCACCTTGGGCCCAAAGAAAGCTTCTAAAGCCAGCCCTTTGGTAAAGAGGGTGAGAAACACTATAGAATTCAAGAAAGAGATCATCGCAAAATACGTAAGTGGAGTGTGTGTCTCCGAGCTGGCCAGGTTGTATAACAAATCTCATACAACCATCACTACTATCTTGGCCAAGAAAAAGGCAATCAAGGAAGTTGTTGTTGCGTAAGGTGCAAATATGCTTACAAAACAGAAATCGCAAATACTCAAAGATGTGGAGAGATTGTTGTTGGTTTGGATCAACGAGAAGCAATTATCAGGAGATAATTTGCAGTCAATTATATGTGAAAAGGCAAGGCAGTTACATGATGATCTCATTAATAAAATGCCTCCAACTAGTGCTCATACTGGTGAATTTAAGGCCAGCAAAGGTTGGTTTGAGAGATTTAAGAATCGTAGTGGCATACACAGTGTGATAAAGCATGGTGAGGCTGCCAGTGCTGACAAAAAAGCGGCTGAGAAATATGTTCAGGACTTCAAGGGGTACATAGAGGCTGAAAAATTAAAACCCCAACATGTGTTCAATTGTGACAAAACAGGCCTTTTTTGGAAGAAAATGCCAAACAGGACATAAATTACTCAGGAGGAAAAGGCACCCCCAGGACACAAGCCTATGAAAGACAGGTTCACTCTCATGTTTGGTAGTAATGCTAGTGGTGATTGCAAAGTGAAGCCTTTACTCGTGTATCACTCTGAAAATCCCAGAATGTTAAAAAAAAAAGTGTCGTCAAGACTAAATTGTGTGTGATGTGGAGGGCAGACAGTAAGGCATGGGTCACAAGGGACATTTTCTTTGACTGGTTCCATGATGTGCTTGGCCCCAGTGTGAAAGAATACCTCCTGGAAAATAACTGAAGTGCCTCCTGGTAATGGACAGTACTCCAGCTCATCCTCCAGACTTGGAAGAGTGAATGGTGCCGGAGTTTAGCTTCATCAAAATGAAATTCTTGCCCCCTAATACCACTCCTCTCCTCCAGCCCATGGACCAGCAGGTCATTTCAAATTTCAAAAAACTGTACACCAAAACAGTGTTTCAAAAGTGCTTTGAAGTGACCTCAGACACTGAATTGACCCTAAGAGAGTTCTGGAAAGATCACTTCAGTATCCTTAGTTGCATAAACCTTATAGGTAAGGCTTGGGAGGGAGTGACTTGCAGGACTTTGAACTCTGCTTGGAGAAAACTGTGGCCAGAATGTGTACAAGAGAGGGATTTTGAAGAGTTTGGGGCTGACCCTGAGGAGCCTATGCCAGTTGTGGAATCTATTGTGGCACTGGGGAATTCCATAAGGGTTGGATATGAGTTTGGAGGATGTGGAAGAGTTGGTGGAGGATGACGATGAAGAGCTAACCACCACAGAGCTGCAAGAGCTTGAGGTGCAACACAAACAGACCACAGCTTAGGAATTTCCTTCATAGGAGGAGGAAGAGAGATGGAGGAAGGTGCCTTCTTCAAAGATTAAGAACATTTATGCAAAGTGGACTGAAGTGCAAACATTTAAGCATGAACATCACCCTGGCACAGCTGTTGCAAGCCGTCCTGGCAACATCTACAATAACAATGTTGTGTCCAATTTTAGGAAAATCTTAAAGACACACCAGAAACAAAGCTTTCTGGACAGATTTTTGGTATGACAGGGGTCCAGTGACTCTCAAGCTAGCGCTAGTGGCATTAGAAAAACAAAGAAGGGAAGCAACCCTGGAAAAGGACCCTGGACCTACACAAACACTAGTACACCTCCATCCTCTCCCCTTCTCCCATCTCATGACTCATCAATAAGTCTTAATAAAGGTAAGTGTCATTTTAGTATTGTTTATTCTGCATGTCTCATTGTTTTCTATGTAGGAAAATGTATATGTCATGCAAAAAAATATTTTGTTTAATGCTTTTGGGTGTCTGGAATGGATTAATTGGATTTCCATTATTTCTTATGGGGAAAATTAATTCGGATTAAGTCAGATTCGGTATAAGACATGCTCTTTGGAACGGATTAATTACATTAATCGAGGGTCCACTGTAACTGCATAAATAATGTCAACCCATTCTTGACTGCGTATTGGAATTTGAACTGACAGGCGCACATGTATTAGACAGTGACGTCATTTGTTTACTCTTGAACATCGCTAAAGAATGGAACATTTCTGCTACTGTGAGCATAATTTTGAGGTACTTTTTGTCATGAAAGCAATCAAAATCATATCTATTTCTGTAACATATCTTCCATTCTATCAAATGAGACCAAAAAACGAGAATACAACCACAAAAAACATACAAAAAATATACTGCTATGGGGCCACAAATGGCTGAGAAGTGAACTCCGTTATTTATGGTCTGATTTCTTTCATTTTTGGTGTATGTTAAGAAGCATCTTTCCATCATACATTGCCCATGTTTCAATAAAACAGCCCAACAAGCAACTGAGAGAAAAATAATAATAATAATAATAATAATAATAATAATAATAATAAAATAATAATAATAAATAATAATAATAATAAAATAATAATAATAATAATAATAATAATAATAATAATAATAATAATATCTTTATTTATTACATGTATATGTACATGGTATACAGCCCTAGCTGACAGTGACATACTACTATACAGAAAGCCCCTTGTTATGTTAAGCATTTCAGGCAAATTAGGTCAGTATCCCAGGATAACACCCACACCAGTCCACTAACACCCAGGTACCCATTTACTGATGGGTGAACACAGACAACAGGTGTAAAGAAACACATCCAATGTTTCTACCCTGGCCGGGAATCGAATATTTACCAAAAATCATTTATGGCTAGCCCAAGCTAGGTACTAGAAATAAGCCACTTTGTCTGACTTTTTTGGGTTATCCTAGGTTCTCAACACATATGCTACTATGTGTGATAATCTATGTAGAGAAAATAGACTTTTTGTTTCAGTTTTATGGTGCACTACGAGTGTATATGATCGTTAGCCCTGTGCTGTACTCCGTTTTCTGTAATATAAGCCCAAGACAGGGAGAGGGGAGTGGTACTTGTATCCCATGTCCTCTTCATACCTCTGTCGAACTGCTCGGTATTATGCCAAATATTATTTATTCTGCAGTACTTAACATGTTTTTGTTATTTATATTGTTTATTATATCATATTAGATCAATTGTGATAGGCAAATAAGCCGTAGTGTTGATATTAGCATAATAATAAAGCATATTCTCCTGTATCACGAGACTGAGGTCATGGCAACTGACAGTGGCTTCAAAGTCACCTTATCTTTTATGGACAATGTACTGTAAAGGTGCTTTACATAATGAGAAGCATTTCTTTTATTTGTTGGAACCATGACTAGGGCTAAAAGTAAGCAGGTTATAACAATAAATGGAGAAAAAGAAATTGGAATGACTTATGCAGCAAGTAGCACCACCAAACAATACCAGCAGGTTGGTGTGACATCCCTGGAAATTTGAAATTATGCTAGCCAAAATTAGTGCTGAATAGCTGATGGAACCTGATGTCTGATTGCCGGATTTATGATGGCAGACCTGTATGCACAAGATGCAACACAGAATACAATATCATGAGCACAGCTTCACTCATACATACAGTTAAGTAGTCAAACAAATGACTAACAACCAGCCTCAATTTCACGAGAGATAGCACATCTAGTGCCCTGTATAGGTTATGGGCAATTTAAAGGAAGGCGCCAGTTTGTCTCCTCTGTCCTCTGTTTCATCTCAAAGTTTTGAAAAAAAATCACAGTTGTTATGCATTTTATATGAAGCTGTGTCATATTATTAAAATTAGTCTTCTGGATAATTGGGGAAGGTAATATTATGTTGCATAAATAATTATGCCTAGAGGTCAGAGGAAGGAAAAATAGCAACCATACATAACATGTATTAACTAACTCACCAATATATAAGTTTAATTCATTCTTAAAATTACATCTTGTCAACTGACCTAATTGCTGGATCCCATTCTCCAGGTGGCAGGACAGTCACAGCATCTAGGAACTCATCAACAGCAGCTAGAAGATGACTTCTATTTTTTGCCTTGTATGCTACATCATGAAATACTTCATCACTGAGAAGGGTGGCCATGGCACGTCCAATCTCATGATACCTTGGTAGACCGCCCTGTAACAAAATATATTCTACTGAATGAAATTGAATAAATTGAAATAATTCACACTATGACTGCTCTTTTAATACTAAATGAATGCTCACTGTATTATGGTTTTTTTCTGCCATTTTGTCCTTGGAGTAAGCCATATGCACAAAGTAATGGACTTAAACTTTTTTGTGATGAAAATGGATTTGAAAACCAACAAGTTGAAAAATGAGACACTTGTGCAACATGTGCACAAGTGTCTCATTCTTTAACTTTTTTGCAGTAGGTATATGATTGATATGAAGCAAAAACATAGATCAATTGAAAAGTTGCCTGATTATCTTTAAAACTGAGGACATTACCAATATATAATTATTCTGATGAATGTTAAGAGGAACACTGAAGTCTCCAAGAGGCAGAAAAGTTAGTTAGCATTTTCAGGCCTAACAGTAAGTGTACATATATTTAATAAGATAGCCCAACAAACAAATGATATCCAATTCCCTAGATCAAGAGCAAGAGCTCCTCACCAGCATCAAGGAACCTCCTTTGAGACCCACTCATTATGGAAATTTCGCTCGTGTATGGAAGCAAAAAATCGACTGATCGACTGTTTGTATATGGAAACTCGCATGTTGATGATTTCGCAAGTGAAGGTTCCACTGTATTCTTTTTCTCATTTTCTGTAATCCTCACAACCATTAAATATATTAAATGTGTTCATATTATGTTAATATGGTAGGATCCTCATTACTTGCAATCATAAGCCAACCTATAATCCTAAAAACAATTAAACCTAATATATGTTATATCAGGAATAAAAATAGAAATGTTAAAAGCAGGTGGGGATATAGTTTTGAAGTGGTTGGTATTTTTATTTAATAAATGTATGGAAGAGTGTAAGGTACCTAGGAATTGGCAGAGAGCATGCATAGTTCCTTTGTATAAAGGCAAAGGGGACAAAAGAGAATAAGGGGAATAAGTCTGTTGAATATACCTGGTAAAGTGTATGGTAGAGTTATTATTGAAAGAGTTAAGAGTAAGACAGAGAGCAGGATAGCAGATGAACAAGGAAGCTTTAGGAAGGGTAGGGGGTGTGTAGACCAAGTGTTTGCAGTGAAACATATAGGTGAACAGTATTTAGAAAGGGAAAAGAGGTTTTTGTGGCATTTATGGGTTTGGAAAAGGTGTATGATAGGGTGGATCGGGGGTTAATGTGGCAGTGAAGAGTCTTTACAAGGATAGTGAGGCTCAGGTTAAATTATGTAGGAAAGAGGGAGATTATTTCCCTGTAAAAATAGGCCTTAGACAAGGATGTGTGATGTCACCATGATTGTTCAATATATTTATAGATGGAGTTGTAAGAGAAGTGAATGCTCAGGTGTTGGCAAGAGGTGTGTCCCACAGGGAAGTGTCCTTTTTTATTTATTTATTTATTTATTTATTTATTTATTTCCAATTTGTGCACACATACAGAGGTACAAAAAAAATACAGATAAGAGCAGTATGCCAAAGCCACTTATACTATGCATAGCATTACGGGCTGGCTTAAAATTAACTTAAGATTAACTAAGCAATGATTATTATTATTATTATAATCAAAAAGAAGCGCTAAGCCACAAGGACTATACAGCGCTGCTACTAAGCAATGATGAAATCTCTTTCTCATTTACATAAACGACCTACCAAATGCATCGCAACTACTCAAACCCACACTATTTGTGGATACCACTTCATACGTCTTCTCTCACCCAAGCCCAGTCATACTAGCCAATACTGCAAATACCGAATTACAGAAAATATCTACCTGGATGATGATTAACAAACTTACTCTCAATACTGACAAAGCCTACTACATTCAGTTTGGGAACAGAACTACAGATGTTCCTCTTAACATAATGATAAACGGATCACCTATCACAAAGCTCACAGAGGGAAAATTCTTAGGAATCCACCTTGATAATAGACACAAATTTCAAACACATGTACAACAAATTTCCAAGAAAATCTCCAAGACCGTAGGCATACTATCGAAGATACAGTGCTATGTTCCACAGTCAGCCCTCCTGGCCCTATATCACTCACTCATTTACCCCTATCTCACCTATGGAATTTGTGCATGGGGCTCAACAACAATAAATCATCTCACACCATTAATTACCCAACAAAAGGCTGCAGCCAGAATGATAACAAATTCCCACTCCAGGCAGCATACTCCACCAATATTCAAAACTCTAAACTTACTCACCATACAAAACATCCATACTTATTACTGCACCTACTACATACATAGAACACTTAACTCTGATATAAACCCTCCCCTCAAACTTCTCCTTACCAACCTCAACAGAACACATGACCATAACACAAGGCACAGATCACTCTTTGATGTTCCTCGTGTCCATCTCACACTATGTAAAAACTCAATGCACATAAAAGGCCCAAAAATCTGGAGTTCATTACCTGTGAATATAATAGAAATACTGTCTATTTATCAGTTCAAGACTCTTCTTAAAAACCACTTACTCAACCACAACTAAATAAATACTGAATAACTGAATCTCATAAATGTATAACCTGTGACCCTATCAAACTATGCTTTTTTCTTAATTACATTACCTAATAGAATACTCCATTCTCTTGAATGCACAGTAACTCATCTAATGACCATATGACTTGTTTCTGCACTACAAATCATTGATTTTACTTGATCTGATTCGATTATATTATACATTGTTATGCTACAAATTTGTACAACTTTAACCCTTTCAGGGTCCAAGGCCAAAATCTGAAGTGGTACCCCAGTGTCCAAGAATTTAAAAAAAAAAAAAAAAAATTTATTTTTTCTTATGAAATGGTAGAGAATCTTTTTGTGAAGGTAAAACAAAAAGTACGAAATTTGATGGAAAAATTGATGAAATTATGCTCTCGCGAATTTTGATGTGTCAGCAATATTTACGAATCGGCGATTTTGCCGACTCTGTCTCCCATTTTAGGCCAATTACATTATTCCAGTTGACCAAATTCTTAGCTATTTCACTATTATTACTTCTATTCTATCGACTGAGCATAAGAAATCGCCAAGTCAACTGTTTCAACTACAAAATAAAGTGATCGGAAATTGGTAATTTGGCCAATTTAATACAAAGGTCAAAATATTCCAATTTCAAAATAGGGTCCAGAATAAACAATGTAGGTATTCCTGGCACTAAACTAACATTTCCTCTGTTCATTAGTTACGCTTTGAGGCTTTACAAATAAATTCCATTTTGATTTTTTATTCACATAACGAATTTTTATTCACACCAAAAAATAGAAGATTTACTGTTCTGCAATATTGTAATAATTGTATAAATATCATCACCACATTTGTGAATGTATATTAGACCCATCAGCTGGTGTGTATTAGACGTGTGAGGTCGTTTGTTTACTCTTGAACATCAGCAAAAATTTAACATTTCCGCTACTTTGAGCTCAGTTTCAAGCCATTTCCGGTGCTAAAATCAATCGAAATCATCTCTATTTCTGTAATATGTCTTCCATTCTATCAAATGGGAACAAGAAATTGCAAATACAACTATAAAAAAACATACGAAAAAACACTGCAAAGTAGCTGTTTTAATAAAAAATCATGGTCTCAGTTTTTTTTTCTCTCATTATACACAGTGTGCTGCAGGATTTGTTTTATGTGGTACACACATACCACATAGATGTATTCTCTCATGTCTAGGCCCAAATTTACCACTCACAGTTTATCAGAGTGAACTGAGCTCATGGCGCAGATCTACAGTTTGGACCCTGAACGTAAAACATAGATCTATGGGACGGACCCTGAAAGGGTCAATGCTTCTTATTTGAAATACTCAAAGGCGAGTGGTGCACTGAGGAGTCTGTGGAGACAAAGAACTTTATCAATGAAAGCAAAGAGGGGAATGTATGAGAGTGTAGTTATACCAATGCTCTCGTATCAGTGTGAGGTATGGGTGATGAATGTTGCAACAAGGGAAAAGCTGGAGGCAGTGGAGATGTCATGTCTGAGGGCAAAGTGTGGTGTGAATATAATGCAGAGAATCTGTAGTTTGGAGATTAGGATGAGGTATGAGATTACCAAAACTATTATCCAGAGGGCTGAGGAGAGATTATTGAGATGGTTTGGACATGTAGAGAGGATGGAACAAAACAGAAAGACTTCAAGAGTGTATAAATCTGTAATGGAGGGAAGGCGGGGTAGGGGTCACCTAGGAAAGGTTGGAGGGAGGGGGTGTGCGAGGGGCTTGGACTTCCAGCAAGCATGCATGAGCATGTTAGATAGGAGCAAATGGAGATAAAAATGGTTTTTAGGACTTGACATGCTGTTGGAGTGTAAGCAAGGTAACATTTATGAAGGGATTCAGGGAAACCGGCAGGCCGGACTTGATTCCTGGAGATGGGAAGCACAGTGCCAGCACTCTGAAGGAGGGGTGTTAATGTTGTAGTTTTATAACTGTAGTGTAAGCATGCCTCTGGCAAGACAGTGATGGAGTGAATGATGATGGAAGGTTTTCATTTTTGGGTCACCCTGCCTTGGTGGGAAACGACCGATGTGTTAATAAAAATAATAAAAAAATGTTATATTGCATGTACTAATACTATTCAGCTCTCTTGTGTTCCTTGTAATTCCTAAATTTATTTTTACAACCACTTACAGACTATATTTATAAGTTTTTAATTAGTTATTGCCTTATTAATATCAAGATAGGCTCAAGTTTGCCCGAAATGTTCTGCGTATTAAGGGGCTCTCTGCATGCACACATAAATGTCACCCAGTATACCATACTGAAATAATCTTTAATCTTTAACCAATCATTCAATAGTGGTCTTGCCATACATGTACTGAAGTTAAAATTCAAATAACCCTTTGAAATGCAGGATCCCCACCCCTCCTTCAGAGTATTGTACATCCCACCTCCAGAACTCATGTAATGTAAGAGATAAAAATAACTTACAGTGGGTCCTAATATGATGTACAGAAAACGGGTAGGTACGGGCACTTCTGTTAAGTCTCCAAGATTGGCACTTTGGGACAAACGAACAAATGCAGTGGCAGGCTTCTCTAAGAAGGGCACTTCACCAACGAGGATATTTGAGGCTTCAGCACCTGCAGGAATCTTTCGCATGAAGTGGGTGTTCCCCTGGGGTGGTAAAACAAGAAACAAAAAAATTGCTGTTAAATAATAGAAGGATATGTGAGGGAATTATCAATCAAGAACCAGACTTTATTTCATACAGAAGGTTTATTAAGAGACTACTATATTACGCACATGACCTAACAAACTGGAAAATAAACTGAAGACTGAAGAGAGATAACTCTAAGTCAGTGAAAAACCCTTATAACTACCCCACAAACTGGGAATGAAACTTAGATAATGCTTTAATGTGAACAGAACCATTATCAATTCAAAAGTGGTCCAGGACAAACTGAAACATTGTGTAAGCTTAAACCTCAATTTGTGAGTTAGTCATGAATAGCTCCAGTCATTGTATTTTGACTTTCATTCTTCAGTAAAGTTTACCTTGTGTTCTGGTCCATCAAGATTGCTTGCACTATGGTTACATGTAATAGAGCCAGAGGAGGGTGACTGTTCCATCGTTCCATCAGGATTAGAAGTAGCACTGGCATTGTTTCCACCTGAAAAGGATAAGGCTTTGAAGAAGCCTGACCCAATGTCTGGATATAAGGCACCAGACATGGGAGAGAGAGAGAGAGAAAAAAACAGGCAATTAGCAAACGAAACCAAAAACACAGAGGAAAAAGTACTTCTAGTTAGTGTGCTAAGCAACACAAATGGCCAGTTGTGAAGAGTAAAAGCACACAAAGCTTTTATTTTATTTATAACAGTAAGAAAAGCATATTTATTATGAAGGACTAGAGTGCTGGTACAGAAGGCTTAGAGAAACTATAACTCGGCCCATTTATGTATGGTTATCACACAAGCACAATATACAGTATATAACCTACACACACACAAAAAAAAAGAGAACAGGCAAATGCAGCTTATATTGAACATTACTACATAAAAAGAGTAAACATCAAAACTCTGTAAAGCTTTTATAATACAGTACCAGAAATTATATAAAAACGCACTCCAAAGGCAACGATAAATATAATGTACGAGATGATATCATGCAAACACGGAAAGCTATAATCTGTTAACAAAAAAAAAATCCTAATGAAAACTAAAGAAAAGTTTTTGCATCTTGTTATTTGTAAAATAAAGATGTAGACATCAAAAAGTATATTTACAAAGTATTTCTTACACAGAACTACAAATCCATCAACACACACACCCACATGCAATGCAGTCCCATATACATACAGTCCATTATACATACTGTATTCACATATATTTTTATGTATGTATATACCTGTATATGGATATATAAAATATATATGTATGAAGTTAAGTGGACAATTAAGCATAAGCACATGCAACACAGACAATATAAAACACACACACAAACACACACTGACTCGACCCCTGGAATCACAATTAGGTGGGTACACACACACTCTCAACCCCTGGAATCACAAATAGGTGGGTACACACATACATACACACACACACACACACACACACACACACACACACACACACACACAACACACACACACACACTCAACCCCTGGAATCACAATTAGGTGGGTATACACACACACACACACACACACACACTCAACCCCTGGAATCACAATTAGGTGGGTATACACACACACACACACACACACACACACACACACACACACACCAACTCAACCCCTGGAATCACAATTAGGTGGGTACACACACACACACACAAAACAGCTAGCCACATACAAATACACACACGCATACAGTAATCATCAACAAAATAATGTCACCATGAATCATATTAATGATATCGTAAAATGCTCATATGCCACTGTGTTAAACTTTAAAAGAGTCAATATATACATGATTGGAGAAATACTTAAACAGGCATTCACAACATATGTTGGACCAAAATTGTAAAGGAATGCAGTTGTATGTTGTCAGCACCTACAATAACATGTGGATAACCTACAATAACATGTGGATAACCTACAATAACATGTGGATAACTACAATAACATGTGAATAACCTATAATAACATGTGGATAACCTACAATAACATGTGGATAACTACAATAACACGTGAATAACCTATAATAACATGTGGATAACCTACAATAACATTTGGATAACCTACAATAACATGTGGATAACCTACAATAACATGTGGATAACCTACAATAACATGCAGATAACCTACAATAACATGTGGATAACCTACAATAACATGTGGATAACCTACAATAACATGTGGATAACCTACAGAAATTACAAGCATGAACTCCATTACAGAGTTTTGAAAAACCTTCAAAGAAATTATTAACTGAAGTAAACATTCTGAGGGACACCCAGGGTAGACATAATGGTAGACGTGAGGGACACCCAGGGTAGACATAATGGTAGACATGAGGGACACCCAGGGTAGACATAATGGTAGACGTGAGGGACACCCAGGGTAGACATAATGGTAGACGTGAGGGACACCCAGGGTAGACATAATGGTAGACGTGAGGGACACCCAGGGTAGACATAATGGTAGACGTGAGGGACACCCAGGGTAGACATAATGGTAGACGTGAGGGACACCCAGGGTAGACATAATGGTAGACATGAGGGACACCCAGGGTAGACATAATGGTAGATGTGAGGGACACCCAGGGTAGACATAATGGTAGATGTGAGGGACACCCAGGGTAGACATAATGGTAGATGTGAGGGACACCCAGGGTAGACATAATGGTAGATGTGAGGGACACCCAGGGTAGACATAATGGTAGACGTGAGGGACACCCAGGGTAGACATAATGGTAGATGTGAGGGACACCCAGGGTAGACATAATGGTAGACGTGAGGGACACCCAGGGTAGACATAATGGTAGATGTGAGGGACACCCAGGGTAGACATAATGGTAGACGTGAGGGACACCCAGGGTAGACATAATGGTAGACATGAGGGACACCCAGGGTAGACATGATGGTAGATGTGAGGGACACCCAGGGTAGACATGATGGTAGATGTGAGGGACACCCAGGGTAGACATAATGGTAGACATGAGGGACACCCAGGGTAGACATGATGGGAGATGTGAGGGACACCCAGGGTAGACATAATGGTAGACATGAGGGACACGCAGGGTAGACATAATGGTAGACGTGAGGGACACCCAGGGTAGACATAATGGTAGATGTGAGGGACACCCAGGGTAGACATAATGGTAGACGTGAGGGACACCCAGGGTAGACATAATGGTAGACATGAGGGACACCCAGGGTAGACATGATGGTAGATGTGAGGGACACCCAGGGTAGACATGATGGTAGATGTGAGGGACACCCAGGGTAGACATAATGGTAGACATGAGGGACACCCAGGGTAGACATGATGGTAGATGTGAGGGACACCCAGGGTAGACAATGGTAGACATGAGGGACACCCAGGGTAGACATAATGGTAGATGTGAGGGACACCCAGGGTAGACATGATGGTAGATGTGAGGGACACCCAGGGTAAACATGATGGTAGATGTGAGGGACACCCAGGGTAGACATAATGGTAGACATGAGGGACACCCAGGGTAGACATAATGGTAGATGTGAGGGACACCCAGGGTAGACATGATGGTAGATGTGAGGGACACCCAGGGTAGACATGATGGTAGATGTGAGGGACACCCAGGGTAGACATGATGGTAGATGTGAGGGACACCCAGGGTAGACATGATGGTAGATGTGAGGGACACCCAGGGTAGACATAATGGTAGATGTGAGGGACACCCAGGGTAGACATGATGGTAGATGTGAGGGACACCCAGGGTAGAAATGATGGTAGATGTGAGGGACACCCAGGGTAGAAATGATAGTAGATGTGAGGGACACTCAGGGCAGACATGATGGTAGATTTGAGGGACACCCAGGGTAGACATGATGGTAGATGTGAGGGACACCCAGGGTAGACACAATGGTAGATGTAAGGGATACCCAGGGTAGACATGATGGGAGATGTGAGGGACACCCAGGGTAGACATGATGGTAGATTTGAGGGACACCCAGGGTAGACATGATGGTAGATGTGAGGGACACCCAGGGTAGACATGATGTGTAAGACACCTGACAAGTTATGAACTACACCTTCTAGGTAAGAACTACACCTGCTAGGTAAGCACCACACCTCCTAGTTAAGAACTACACCTACTAGATACAAACTACACCTGTTAAGTAAGTACTACACCTGTTGGGTTAATTTGTGAGCAGCAGGTGACTAGGAGTCAAGAAGTACACCCATCACAGCACATCATCACTCAGGCATACAATATATGATAGAAGACATGATAGGACAGGGTATGACTCAAGACATGATAGGACAGTGTATGATTGAAGACATGATAGGACAGTGTATGACTGAAGACATGATAGGACAGTGTATGATTGAAGACATGATAGGAGAGTATATGACTGAAGACATGGCAGGAGAGGATATGACTGAAGACATGATAGGGCAGTATATGATTGAAGACATGATAGGGCAGTATATGACTGAAGACATGATTGGACAGTATATGATTGAAGACATGAAAGCGCAGTATATGACTGAAGACATCATAGGACAGGATATGACTGAAGACATGATAGGACTGTATATGACTGGAGACATGATAGGGCAGTATATGACTGGAGAAATAACAGAAAAAGATGTGACTGAAGACATGATAGGATAGTATTTGATTGAAGACATGATAGGACAGTATATGACTGGACACATGATAGGACACGATATGACTGAAGACATGATAGTACAGTATATGAGTGAAGACATGATAAGACAGGATATGACTGAAGACATGATAGGAGAGTATATGACTGGAGACATGATAGGACAACATATGATTGATGACATGATAGGACCGTATATGACTGAAGACATGATAAGGTGGTATATGACTAAAGACATGACAGGACAGTATATGACTGAAGATATGATACGAGAGGGTATGCCTGAAGACATGATAAGAGAGCATAAGACTGGACACATGATAGGACACAATATGGCTGAAGACATGATAGGGCCGTATATGATTGAAGACATGACAGGATAGTTTATTACTGAAGACATGATAGGACAGGAAAAGACAGGAGACATGATAGTACAGAATATGACTGAAGACATGATAGGACAGAATACGACTGGAGACATGATAGGACAGTATATGATTGAAGACATGACAGGTCAGTATATGACTGAAAACATGATACATCAGGATATGACTGAAGACATGATAAGGCAGTATATGACTGGAGACATGATAGGACATTATATGACTGAAGACATGACGACGTATAGATTGACAGTATATGACTGAAGACATGATAGGACAGTATATGACTGAAGACATGATAGGGTAGTATATGACTGCAGGCATGACAGGACAGTATATGACTGAAGACACAGTAGGAGAGGATATGACTGAAGACATGATAGGGCAGTATATGATTGATGACATGATAGGTCAGTATATGACTGCAGACATGACTGGACAGTATATGATTGACAGTATATGACTG